CCCCCCACCTTTCTAGAGGATACCAGAGGAAGGAAAAAGGAAAAGTAAGATCATGTGATTGATGTTGCGCTAAATCATAAATTTTGCCTTTGTTTTCTATTTTCGCCAGGTTTTCTACACTCTTGTGGCCGTCTTCGAGTCGCCCAATTGTCATAACGGACGACGTAATCCGCGCCATCTTGACATACATCTAATCCGAAAGCGAACATCGTATCAAGCGAGAAGATCAGCAGATCTGCGATAGGCTCTAGCGAACCCGCAGGTCGTCGGAGTCACCGGAGTCACCGAAAGCCATGCCCCTGGAATGTTCTTGTGAACTCTTTGTCGTCATCTTGAGAAGGGAGACCGCTGCGCAGGCGAAAGCAGACCCTTACCTCTCGTAACCCCTCTACACCACGTCCCCGTCGCTGTGCAGACGAAAGCAGCCATTTGCCTCCCTTAACCCCTCTACACCCCGTCCCCACCCTCTCTCCCCCAGCAGTAAGTGGCAAGGTGTTGGTCTCATCTCGTTTCACTTTCTCGGACGCTCCGCTGTCAAGTTCTGGTGACCGACGAGTTAATTAAGTGGTTCGTCTTATCCTATCTCACGAATGGGAGTCGCCACGGCTTCAGAAAAACGAGAGGACATTGAAACCAGACAGTGGCCACTTCTTTCAAAACTTCGTGGTCCGACGTTCGTGGATCTTTGTGTTAACTCGACTGGACAGTGGCTGCACGTCGTCTGTACAACATAAAGGGAAATAACCCCGAAATTCGACGTGAGGCTTCCTGGAAATTATAGTTCCCCTCATAGTAAAGGGGAATCCCCTATTATGTATTTACCCCATATTGAAAATTGTTGCTGTCCTTCGTAAGCACAGCGAGAAGACCTAGCGTTCCCAGTGTGCACTGTGAAAGCAACGGAACATTGTATTTTCTCTCATTTTGAACCGTTTCAGGTTGTTCACCCGGCTGTCCAAAGATTCATTCTCTCAAGACGTCGTCTGTCCACTGCAGGATACATTTACCCACCCAACAACAACGACACCCACTCTGCTCAATAAGCTGTTCTCCGTGTCCAGGTTGTACCCCGCCCGCTCTCCGCCGATGTCAGCAAGCCACATTCCCTCTGCTCTTCTTCTCGATCGTTTTCCTGGGACACTGGTCGTGAAATGACTCTGTATGAACCTTCCCTTCACGCATCCCCTATCAACAGAAACCCTTCTTCTCGCTGTCGAGGACACAGCCGCCTGACAACAACCCCATGGCTTCCTACAGACCTTCCCCTTTGACTCTCAGCACCGGTGTGTCCCAGGCTCAGCCGTTATCCGTGCCGTCGTGGATGCTGATGACAAACGTGAACCTCTTGTCGGTGGGGCTGCTGGAGAAACTGGGCACGGACTTGCACAGGAACGCGGAACAGATCGAGGCGGAGCTAGGCCTACCACGTGTTGTAAGTACCAGATCGGGGAGGAGCTAGGCTTATCACTTGCTGTTAGTAGATTGGGGTTGAGTTTGGGTATTATTCGGGGCGGAGCTAGGGTATAAATATGTCATGCTGTAAGTGAAAGATCGGGGCAAAGCTAGGCTTACCACGTGTTGTAAGTATCAGGTAGGGGAGGAGCTAGGCTTACCACGTGTTGTAAGTATCAGATCAGGGCGGAGCTTGGGTATTCATACATGTATATGTCATGCTGTAATTGTAAGGGACAGATCAGAGCGGAGCTAGGCTTATCACGTGTCGTAAGTATCAGATTTAGGTGGAGCTATAGGCTTACCACGTGTTGTAAGTATCAGATCGGGGCGGAGCTAGGCTTACCACGTGTTGTAAGTGGGCGGAGCTAGGCTTGTACTTTCTTGTATGTGAGAGAGAGAGAGAGAGAGAGAGAGAGA